CTCAGCTTTGCAAACTAATACAGCTAATAGCATCATAATGGATTTATTTCTACCTTTATTATTTCTGTAATCATTTTATTGTTTTAACATTTTATATGGAATATGTAAAACCTAAGATACCTTTCTTACTAACATTGCATATTTCTTTTAATACAACTGAATCATATTCACAGATGTAGGATGGCTGGGAGTTTTGGTGTCAAAGAAGAAAAAAACTTTGAATGTTCCTACCTTTTCTTTTATTAGAGAAACTAAAAATTCAGGAGGTCTTCAAAATTGCGTAATATTTATGATTTTAATTTGTGTATATAAAGAGATATCACTTATGAAAGTATGCTATTGCATTCTATTTATAGTTGAGTATTTATCATTGAATATTTAGACAGATTTTCTCTTTTTGTTAAAAAGAAATGTGCTTTAACTTTTCAGGCATCTTGAAGTCACAGAGGAAAGAATAGCTTCCTCCAAACCTTTAGACTTTTTCTTTTTTTTTTTAAAGATTTTATTTATTTATTTGAGACAGAATGAGAGAGACAGAGAGCACATGAGAGGGGGGAGGGTCAGAGGGAGAAGCAGGCTCCCTGCCGAGCAGGGAGCCCGATGCGGGACTCGATCCCGGGACTCCAGGATCATGACCTGAGCCGAAGGCAGTCGCTTAACCAACTGAGCCACCCAGGTGCCCTAGACTTTTTCTTATTTGACCTATAAGACTTAAATAACTGGAGCAATAAGCTCTTTTCTGAGTTCTACAGTAATAAAAATGCCACTGTTGTCCGTTGATTATCCATCTGTGGGCCTAGTTTAGAGGAAGGGAATATACCAAACAATTAATCAGCAGTCACTAAGAGATACCAACAAGCAGATGAAGGGCTTGCATGCTTTATTTCATTTTTTTTTTTTAAAAAAAAGGGGGCTCCTGGGTGGCTCAGATGGTTGAGCGTCTGCCTTCAGTTCAGGTCATGATCCCAGGGTCCTGGGATCGAGTCCCGCATCGGGCTCTCTGCTCCTTGGGAGCCTGCTTCTCCCTCTGCCTCTCTCTCTCTGTCTCTCATGAATAAATAAATAAAATCTTTAAAAAAAAAAAGGAAAGAAAGGAAAAAGGCAATATCTCTTGAAAACTGGAATTTATTTTGCTCTTTAGTTGTTCTTATTCTGTTTTGGTTTTGTTCAGTGTATAGGAATTGCAGTAACCTGATACTGTGTTCATTTGCATCAATAACTTCTATTTGCATTCTTATAAACTAATTTAAATAAAGGCTGTGTATGTGACAATAGATATATATTAGTTATCTATTGCTGCATAACAAATTGCCCTGAACCTAGGGACTTAAAACAATAAATGTTTTGTTTGTTTATTTTGTTTTATCTCACCAAATTTCTTTGGATCAGGAATCCAGGAATGTCCTAGGTGGGTGGCTGTAGCTCAGAATCTTACATAAGATTGAAGTCCAGATGTCATCCCATGTTATAAGTAGTCTAAGTGAAGACTTGACTGGGGCTGAAAGATTCACTTCCAAGATAGTTTGCTCACATGCCTGGCAAGTTTGAACTGGTTGTTGGCAGGAGGCCTGTTTCTTACCATGTGGACCTCTCCATAAGGCTGTTTGACCATCTGTAATAACATGAGCAAAGGATGAGAGAGCAGGATAGAAGCTGCATTGTTTTTTGTGACCTAGCCTGGAAGTCACACATCATTTCCATGATAATCCTGCTGGCTATACAAGTTAACTCTGCTCATAGTGGGAGGAGAATACATAACGGTACGAAGACCAGGAGGCAAGGATCTTTGGGGGCTACCTTGGAGAAACTAGAATGTTTAATCTAATATGCGCAAGTGTCCAGTGAATGTTCAGATAACTTAAATTTTAATTTTATCAAAAATAATATAATTACTGGAGTGTGGAGGTTTTCAGATTTTACATATTTTATCCCAAATTGCACATGTTACATATATTGATTATTGGTCCATTTCAATTGAATATAGATAGCAGTGCAAAATGTCTCTGCCCTCAAGGAAAGGCAAATATTTCATTATAATTTTTCCAAGTATTACAACAGAGGTACATACTGAAGATGATGAGGTCAGGTGTTGAAGAACATGAGCTCTGAAGTCAGTTTGCCTGAGTTCAATTTCTGGCTCCCTTATTTATTGGCTATATGACCTTGGACCACTTATTTAACCTTTCTAATTCTTTAGTTTCCTTTTCTGATTATTCCCTTTTTATAGCTTACCTTCCTCGTAGAGTTGTGGGGATTTAGGAAACAGTACCAGAGAGTACTATTAGCAGCCACTTGAGATTTTCTGGAATGATCAGTTTGGATGAGGGAAGGTTTCTAGGGAATGTGAGACATTTGAGTGGTCTCTTGGAGGGTAAGTTGGAGTTTGGTCAGCACAGAAAGTTGGTGGAACCCGGGAAGAGATGCCAGCATGAAGGAGAGCTAGAGGCAGAGGAGCTGAGCAGTGGGGTTGAGGCTGGGGCATGTCATGTGGTAGCTTCAAGGGAATGACTAGAAGTAAGTTTAGACAGTGGCATGCAAGGATGTGAAGAGTCTCAGGTGGAGCCCCAGTACATTGTAAATTTTCTGAGATTATCTCAGTTTAAATCACAAATTTCTTACTGCCTCATGACCACTCTCACAATTGCTAGATCTTATGTCCATATTTGCAGTTAGGAAAATATTGTCACTACAGTTATAGGCAAAACAAAAGAAGTTTGAACTTTTTTTGTGGAGGCTTTTAAAAACAGTAGAATTGTAGGATTTGCTCTGTGTGTGTGTGTGTATGTGTGTGTGTGTGTTTTAAGTGGTGTGGGCAATGGATTGAATAGTTAGGATGGTTATAGATATCAGTAGGGAGAGGACTGAAGCCTCACAGGAGACTAGAGAGGTGCGTATAAGTATACAAGAGCCTGAGACCCTTGCTTCTTGTCAGTTTTGGCATTTCCCACAGGCATTGCAAGCATGTTCCCAGGACACTGGCAAGACCAGGACACTTGCCATCCCATTCCAAAGAACTGTGGCTCATCCAGAATTTTGCAATTATAAAAATCTAAAAAGGAGAGATTTTAATGTTAGCATATATGTAAGTATCAGTTTGAATTATACGTAAGGAAATAGGCACAATAATCTTCTTGGCCTTTAAATGTCTGGCTCTAGTATTGATAACCTTATTTTATGGATAAAAGAAGATAATGATTATGTCAATTTTAGAAACTCCTCAACTGCCCACTTCCCAGGTTCAAAAGATTGTTTTGATTCAATACGTGCCCTCTTTATTGAATGGAGCACTGGGTGTTATACGCAAACAATGAATCATGGAACACTACATCAAAAACTAATGATGTACTGTATGGTGACTAACATAACAATAAAATTAAATTAAAAAAGAAAGATTTTTTTGAAAACAAAACTGAAAAGAAAGATGAGGCTTTAAAGAAGAAAAGACAGGTAAAAAATGAGATTTTTAATTTAGATAAATAAGAATCCCTTTGGCAGAGAGCTGGATTCCAGATGGCTTCTGGGCCCAGGGGTGGGAATTAGGGTGCTTAGTCTATTTAGCCTTTCTCACGCAGTTTTTAATTCATTTTCCAGTACTCTCTCCCAGCAGGGCTGACTCTTCATTGCTTTTTGGATGACATGCTCCATGGACAGGCTCTTTTACCAAGACACATGAGCCTCAAATACGTGTCTTTCTTTAGCTTCTTTAGGAGGTAGGTAGGTCTAGTTGAAGCCAGAAGGCTCTAACCCATCTGACATAAAATGATGAAACAGGAATTCTGTGATATCTAGTTCACTTAAAGCTTATTTATTTTCATGAGAAAGAATTTTAATGTGCGTGCTGTCCTCTTTTTCTTTGAAAACTTGGAAGCACTAATGCACCTTTGCCCTGCAGCCATAACACTATGTAAAAAATAATCTAGAAATGGGTAGTGTTTTTATACAACTGTTAAGTTATATGAAACATTCGTCTGATAACCAGACTGAGAGACAGTGTGTCCATTCAGGGATATAGTAGCCTCGCAGGGAGAGCCCAGCTGTGGAAGGGGAAATTTTGGAGTAACTTACCCTGTCTTCAGTTGTGTTCGAAATTTATATATTTTCTGATAGTTTGCATCAGATTGGGGCTCTCTCTTTTTATTTCTAATTTGATATTTCATATTATTTCATAACTAAGATTTTAAGGATTGTAACTTTTTTCATGGTGTTTTCTACTCATAATAAAAGTAGTTTAGTGTCTTGGTGTGCAAAAAAAAATAGTTGATGGAAGATGGTCTTGTTACTAAAGTAAACCTTTCTATAAATAAATGCAGAAACATCTGTTAAGGGCATAGTCTGAATGTGGCAGACATCTGAATTTCGTCAATTCCCGCCTTGTGGCCAAGATTTCTTTCTTAAGCTTTCTTTATAACTAATGGCAGAGTTTCACATTCTCACAGCATTAGGCAATAGAATGGTCAGAAGAACTGGTGCCAAGTTACCCTCTTTCTTGGGTTAGCTGGTGGTAATAATTTATACTCACCAAGGAAAAGTGTGGCATGTTTTTGTTTTTATTTTTGAAGACTGAAAACCTGAGATCTGCCCTTCAGTGTCACTTCTAGGCCCTGGGTCTAGGCAGTTTTCCAAATATCTGTTAAACTGCTTTCAAGAAATTATTGTGGTGTTGCAGGAAGCTTTGGTCAGGAGAATAAGGCAGCACACAGTCTTTCCTAGAACACCATGGGCCCATCAAATGACCTTTTTCAGAAACAACTGAGATTCTTTTTTCAATGGCAGAAAAATGCTAATTGAAACCAAACAGAAAACAGACTCACCCCACAAGTATTGTAGTTCAGATGAGTAAGGGGGAAGTCAGAGAGGGGATGAAAAATTCTTCTTGGGAAAACTTTTGAAGCTAAAGCTTATTTATTTGGTCTTTGATGATTATAAGTTAAAATGGGGTGGTTTAGCATTTTTAAGATAAAAATGAGCCAGGACTGTAAGAACACTGTGTACCCTTTCAGGTGCCTGTGTACCTCTTCCTAGAATACCTGTCTGGTGCTCTACTCTTCCTCAAGACTACCTCAACACTCCTCCCACTTGGGGACTCCAGCGCCGTAAGGTGAGTCGGCAAATTTGTACTCCTTGCCTATATCCTAGAAGAGTATCATTTAAACTGACATTTTTAAAACAATTTTTCAAAATTTTGGGAGGCTTTCAAAGGATGTGTTCACTGGTGAACTCTCAAGAATCAACATTTGTAAGCCCTATATTTAGATAAGTATAAAGTTTAATTAGCAGTAGTATCTTTTGCCAGTGTAATGTAAACCCTAGGTTCAAATTTAGGTTGACACTAATAGCATTATGAAACATACTTTAGATTTCAGATTTGAAGTCTGAAGCAAATTTTTGCAAATTACTATGTCACCACTCTTAGGTTTCCTGAGCATTATTCTACTCATGCTTTAAATTGACAGCCTCTTTTTTTATTGATTGATTGATTGATTAAGTTTTTATTTTAATTCCAGTTAGCATACAGTGTTGTATTAGTTTCTGGGGTACAATATAGTAATTCAACACTTCCATACATCAACCTGTGCTCTTCAAAACAAGTGCACTCCTTAATCCCCATCACCTATTCAACCCATCTCCACCCCTCTCCCCTCTGGTAACCATCAGTTTGTTCTCTATAATTAAGAGTCTGTTTCTTGCTTTGTGTCCCTCTCTCTAATTTTTTCCCTTTGCTTGTTTGTTTTGTTTCTTAAATTCCACATATGAGTGAAATCAGATGGTATTTGTCTTTCTTTGACTTATTTCACGTAGCATTATACTCTCTAGCTCCATCGATGCCATTGCAAATGGCAAGATTTCATTCCTTTTTATGGCTGAATAATATTCTATTTTAAATATATATATTTATTTATATATATGTACACCACACCTTTATCCATTCATCAATCGATGGATAGCAGCCTCTTTTAAAGCCGAAAAGTATTTCTAACAGTGAAGGTTAGAAGGTCTCAGTAAGTCTGAAATAGCTTATAGTGTGAGCTTCCATCCCTTAAGTAGTGTAATTGGCTTCATTAAGTAAAGGGGGTCACAAAGTCTCTTGAAGTGGGAATATACAACTAAATTAATTTTCACTTGCTTTTTGTACGTTTGATGTGTATCCTCTCTTGAACATTGAAGTGACTCATTGGTCTCAGAAGGGAAAATAATTTGACCTTGTTGGTAGTATGTGAATCACTTGTGAATAAATTGTTCACACTTTACAGGTGAATAAACTCTTTAAGGGCACCAACCAGCATGCTGTCTCGGAAATTCCTTAGTCCCTCATTTGCAAAAGTTATGTGCTTGCATTTTTGCCTCAATGATGATTTTCAAAGGTCTTACATAATTAATTCCCCCCTGAAATAAAAAAGTATGACCTTAGAGCCTTGTAGTAATTGCTAAACTATGTGGAGGGAAATGGATTCCTAAAACCACAAGTCCTTATCCTCACTGGTTCCGTTTTCTTCCTGTAGACCCTGTTGCATTGCTTGCGGCATTAGCAAAATCCATGACTAGAAGGCCCCAAGTGTTGAAAGTAAAAGATAGTCTGATTCTAATCGAGCAATTTTGTTATATCCATGTAAGAGCTGAAAAATTCTAGTTAAGCTCTGTTATTTGTAATACAGTCTAAAGAAGAAAAGTATAAGGAACAAAATGTATTATGTAGTCCCACTTACTATAGTTCTCTCCATAATTGTGTCATCACTTAAATTTTAGAGTTAGCTTTTATCACTGATAGAGCTATTCTGTAAATCTTTCTTTTCTTTACATTAATTATTTTCTATTTGGTAGGATTTATGTAAAAGTTATACCAAGAGGAACTATGGTTCAGATTTAATGTTTAGAGATTGTGTACACTTGGGTTTGAATGTTTCAATTATTTTGTTTCTTTTAGAACACTGGTAGTTATCCCCTCATACAGGTAAGAGATGTTGGAGTTGCTTGGAGTTCACTGCCAAAGAGTTAATTTTTTACTATTTCTTTTCAAATGTTTAGTATGCTAAAAATTAACAGCCTTTGATTCTTGACTTCAAGTGCATAGAGACTCCCTTAACATACTGCCTTGTTTTCCTTTTTTAAATGGAGTTTTGTCTGGATGTGGTAGAGCTATACATAAAAACAGTTTTGCTCTTGGATCCAGTAATCCAGTTTACTCATTGAAAGAGGATATGTGAGTTCCCTAAACCTTTTTGAATGAAGCATCTAATTTCAGTCATGTTAACTTTGATAGCAACAAAACCAGCTTTGAATTCTCAGTATTGCTACACTGTAAAGCTACCTTAAATTTTTTTTTATGGAGCAGCTTTAAATTTTTAATGTTTTACAATCAGAATATTTATTTCTACTAAATTACATTTTCTCCACAATGATGCAGTTTTTCCTGAGCCGTTATTCTTTTAGGGAATGATAGAGAATAATTCACATTTTATTTATCACAAGGCATCTTTTCCTAGGTTTGTAAATTTGAGGCTGTGTGAAAACAAACTTTAAAGTTCCTATTTTATGTAAAAAAAAAATAGATTACATAAAACAAAATGAGATTTTGCACATTATTTATTTGCTTCTCTCTCTGTTGGGAATAGGACTGCATTCTTCTCCCATCCCCCTTTTCTGGTACCTTCCTATAAAAGGCATTAGAGGGAAAAGAATGATAAACAGGACTTAGCCCTATAATCTTCTTTCAAACTGCCTTGTAAGTAATTTCCCATAGTTTCTGTAATGAAGCTTATGTTGGTAGTATAGGGTGCTTCTGGTAGTGGGGAGTAGTTTCAAAATACTTTTTCTTTTTTTTTTTGTAATTTTTATTTATTTATTTT